TTCTGACCACAATGCTATGAAACTAGAAATCAACCTCAAGTAAAAAATCTATAAAGAGCACAAATACATGGAGGCTAAATAACATGCTACTAGGGGTGGCTCAGTTGGTTAAGCATCTGCCTTCTGCTCAGGTCATGATCCTAGGGTCCTGGGATTGAGCCCCACCTCAGACTCCCTGCTCAGTGGGGAACCTATTTCTTCCTCTCCCCCTTGCTTGTGCTCTCTCTCTCTCTCAAATAAATAAATAAAATATTTTTTAAAAAATAACATGCTACTAAACAATGAGTGGGTCAACCAAGAAATCAAAGAAATCAGAAAACACAGTGAAACAAATGGAAATGAAAACACAATGGTTCAAAATCTTTGGGATGCAGCAAAAGCTATTTTAAGAGGGAAATTTATAGCAATACATACCCACCTCAAGAAGCAAGAAAAATCTAAAATAAACAACCTAAACTTACACTTAAAGAAGCTAGAAAAAGAAGAACAAACAAAACCCAAAACCAGTAGAGGGAAGGAAATAATAAAGATTAGAGCAGAAATAAATGAAATAGAAACAAAAGACAGTAGAACAGATTAATGAAACCAGGAGCTAGTTTTGACAAGATTAACAAAATTGATAAACCTTTAACCAGACTCATAAAAAAAATTTTTTTAAAGAGAGAGGACTCAAATAAACAAAATCAGAAATGAAAGAGGAGAAATAACAACCAACACCACAGAAATACAAAGGATTGTAAAAGAATATTATGAAAAATTATATGCCAACAAATTGGGACAACCTAGAAGAAATGGGTAAATTCCTAGAAACATACAACCTCCTAAAACTGAATCAGGAAGAAATAGAAAATTTGGACAGACCAAATACCAGCAATGATATTGTACCAGTAAAAACAAAATTAATAAAGAACTTATACAACATGACACACACAAAAACAAAACAAACAAACAAAAACTCCCAATAGATGAAAGTCCAGGACCAGATGGCTTCACAGGTGAATTCTACCAAACATTTAAAGAAACTATTTCAAAAAGTAGAAGAGGAAGGAAAACTTCCAAATTGATTCCATGAGGCCGGCATTACCCTAATACCAAAACCAGGTAAGGACACTACAAAAAAAGAGAACTACAGGCCCAAATCTCTGAACATAGATGTAAAGATCCTCAACAAATATTAGCAAACTGAATCCAACAATACATTTAAAAAATCATTCACCACAATCAAGTGGGATTTACTTCTGGATGCAAGAGTAGTTCAAAATTTGCAAATTGATCAACATGATACATCTATCAACAAGGAGAGGATAAAAACCGTATGATCATCTCAACAGAGGCAGACAAAGCATTTGACAAAGTACAATATTCATTCATGATAAAAGCCCTCCACAAAGCAGGTTTAGAGAGAATATGTGTCAATATAATAAAGACCATATATGAAAAACCCATAGCTAATATCATACTCAATGGTGAAAAACAGAGCTTTTCCCCTAAGGTCAGGAATAAGACAAGCATGCTCGCTCTCACCACTTTTATTCAACATACCACTGGAAGTCATAATCACACCAATCAGACAAGAAAAAAGAATAAAAGTCATCCAAAGTGGTAAAGAAGAAGTAAAATTTTCACTATTTGCAGATGACATGATACTATATATAGAAAACCCAAAAGACGCTACAAAAACAAAACAAAACAAAACAAAAACTACTAGAACTGATAAATGCATTCAGTAAGATTGCAGGATACAGAATCAATGTACAGAAATCTGTTGCATTTCTATACACTAATAATGAAGCATCGGAAAGAGAAATTAAGAAAACAATTCAATTTATTTATTTTTTTAAAAAAAGATTTTATTTATTTATTTGACAGTGAAAGAGACAGTGAGAGAGGGGACACAAGCAGGGGCAGTGGGAGAGGGAGAAGCAGGCTTCCCACTGAGGAGGGAGCCTGATGCGGGGCTCGATCCCAGGACCCTGGGATCATGACCTGAGCTGAAGGCAGACGCTTAACCGACTGAGCCACCCAGGCACCCCTGAAAACAATTCAATTTATAATTGCACCAAAAAATAATAAAATACCTAGAAATAAACTTAACCAAGGAGGTGAAAGATCTGTACTCTGAAAACTATAAAACATTGATGAAAGAAATTGAAATAACACAAACAAGTGGAAAGATATTCATGCTCATGGATTGGTAAAACCAATATTGTTAAAATGTCCATACTACCCAAAGCAATCTCCAGATTTAATGTAATCCCTATCAAAATGCCATCAGCACTTTTCACAGAACTAAAACAAAGGAACCTAAAATTTGTATGGAACCACAAGAGACTCTGAATAGCCAAAGCAAACTTAAAAAAGAAAAAGGTTGAAGTATTATAATTCTAGATTTCAAGTTATACTGCAAAGCTGTAGTTATCAAAACAGTATGGTACTGGCCCCAAAATAGACAAAAGATCAAAAGAACAAAATAGAAAGCCCAGAAATAAACCAATGATTATACAGTCAATTAATCTTTGACAAAGGAAGCAAGAGTATTCAATGGGAAAAGATAGTCTCTTCAACAAATGGTATTGGGAAAACTGGACAGGTACATACAAAAGAACGAAACTGGACCACTTTCTTACACCACATACAAAAATAAACTCAAAATGGATTAAGGACCTAAATGTGAGACCTGAAACCATAAAAATCCTAGAAGAGAGCACAAGCAGTAATGTTTCTGACATCAGCCATAACAATATTTTTCTAGATATGTCTCCTGAGGCAAGGGACACAAAAGCAGAATTAAACTATTGGAACTACATCAACAAAACAAAACAAAACAAACAAAAACAAAAACAAAAAACAAACGTCTGCACAGCAAAGGAAACAATCAACAAAACTAAAAGGCAACCCGTGGAATGGGAGAAGATACATGCAAATGACATATCCCATAAAGGGTTAATATCCAAAATTTATAAAGAACTTACACAACATGACACACACAAAAACAAATAATCCAATTAAAAATGGGCAGAAGACATGAACAGACATTTCGCCAAAGAAAACATTCATATGGCTAACAGAAACACAAAAAGATGCTAAAATCACTCATCATCAGGGAAATGCAAATTAAAAGTACAATAAGATATCACCTCACACCTGTCAGAATAACGAAAATCAAAAAGATAAAATTAATAAGTCAGGAAACGACAGATGTTGGCAGGGATGCGGAGAAAGGGGAACCTTCCTACACTGTTGGTGGGAAAGCGAGCTGGTGCAGCCACTCTGGAAAACAGTATGGAGTTTCCTCAAAAAGTTGAAAATAGAGCTACCCTACGACCTAGTGATTGCACTACTGGGTATTTACCCCAAAGATACAAATGTAGTGATCCGAAGGGTTACGTGCACCCCGATGTTTATAGCAGCAATGTCCACAATAGCCAAACTATGGAAAGAGCCAAGATGTCCATCAACAGATGAATGGATAAAGAAGATGGTATATATATACAATGGGATATTATGCAGCCATCAAAAGGAATGAAATCTTGCCATTTGCAACGACGTGGATGGAACTGGAGGGTATTATGCTGGGCGAAATAAGTCAATCAGAGAAAGACATGTATCATATGACCTTGCTGATAGGAGGAATTCTTAATCTCAGGAAACAAACTGAGGGTTGCTGGAGTGGTGGGGGGTGGAACGGATGGGGTGGCTGGGTGATAGACATTGGGGAGGGTATGTGCTATGGTGAGCGGTGTGAATTGTACAAGACTGTTGAATCACAGACCTGTACCTCTGAAACAAATAATACATTATATGTTTGAAAAAAGGGTGGGGGGCACCTGGGTGGCTCAGTTGGTTAAGCAACTGCCTTCGGCTCAGGTCATGATCTCCGGGTCCTGGGATCGAGCCCCGCATCGGGCTCCCAGCTTGGCAGGAAGCCTCCTTCTCCCTTTCCCCCTCCCCCTGCTTGTGTTCCCTCTCTCACTGTCTCTCTCTCTCTCTCAAATAAATAAATAAAATCTTAAAAAAAAAAAAAGAAGAAGATAGCAGGAAGGGAAAAATGAAGGGGGGGGATATCGGAGGGGGAGACGAACCATAAGAGACTATGGACTCTGAGAAACAAACTGAGGGTTCTAGAGGGGAGGGGGTGGGGGGATGGGTTAGCCTGGTGATGGGTATTAAAGAGGGCACGTACTGAATGGAGCACTGGGTGTTATACGCAAACAATCATGGAACACTACATCAAAAACTAATGATGTAATGTATGGTGATTAACATAAAATAATAAAAAAAGATAAGACAACAAAGTGTTGGTGAGGATGTAGAACAAAAGGAACCCTTGAGTACAGTTGGTGGGAATGCAAACTGTGCAGCCACTGTAGAAAACAGCATGAAGTTTCCTCAAAAAAATTAAAAATAGAACTCCCCTATGATCCAGTAATCACACTGCTGGGTATTTACCCCCAAAATATAAAAACACTAATTTGAAAGGTTATATGCACCCTATATTTATTGCAGCATTATTTACAATAGCCAAATTATGGAAGCAGCCCAAGTGTCCACTGATAGATGAATGGATAAAGAAAATATGAGATAAACACACATACACACACACACACACACACAGAGTGAAATATTATTCAGCTGTAAAAAAAAGAATGAAATCTTGCTATTTGTAACACCATGGATGGATCTAGAGCATATAATACTAAGCAAAATAATTCAGCCAAAGACAAATACCACATGATTTCACTCATATGTGAAATGGTATGTCTATAAACCAAGGGACACCACGGGCTGCCAGGAATCACCAGAGGCTAGATGCATGGAACAGATTCTCCTTCAGAGCTTCCAGTAGGAACCAACCCTGCTGATACCTTGATTTTGGACTTCCAGCATTTACAACTGTGAGAGAATATATTTCTGTTGTTTGAAGCCACTCAGTTGTGACACTTTGTTACAGCAGCCCTAGGAAACCAATATACCAATTTCAGGGGCTCCTTCCCACTGACCTCCAAGCAGTGCTGGATCCGAGAGGGCATCTCAACAGTAAGTGTCTCCATTAGCCTTAGAAGGGATTGCAGGGTCTCCCTGAACAAATCCTGAGGGGAGAAGAGAGAACTCAAAGAGTTGCTGAGATGTCGGCCCCATCCCTCCTTCTAAACTTAGCTCCGTGCTCTAGCTCTCCCAGGAAGCTTTCCTTGAGAAATTCTGCTCCACGAGTTTCCCCCTAACATTTCAAGTGCCACTTGCCTGCTATTAACTTAAACAAATTCTTCTGTTTTCAGCAGAGCACAAATGTCTGCCTGATGTGCAGTTTGTCCTAGTGGACTGGGAGTTCCCAGTTTGCCCCAAACATGGGCAAATCCTGTCAAAATACCTTCCCTCCCTAACCAGACCTACATTGAGGAAGGCCTCATGGGGATACAACCAGAGGAAACCCACCTCAGCCTTCTCTGTATGTACCAGTCCTTCCTTCATAACATAAATAAATATGAACTGACGAAGAAGGACCACCAGACAGCTGATGAAAAGGCCCAAATAAACAAACAGACCAACTGCCCCTAAAAAAAAAAACTAATTCAGTAAATAGAAACTTTTATTTTTTTAAATTCTTATTAATATCCTCAAAAAATCAGGAGATTGTGGCATCAATAAAACAAGAACAACCAATCAAGATAAAGGAGTAATCAGAGAACATGAAAGAATTCCTAAGAATTAAACATACAAATGCAAATTAGAAAAGTGAATCATTCTTCCTTCCCTCAAGGAAACACTATAGGCCCTGTGGGAAATGGATTCAACTCTCTTGCCCCTGGGACTCTCTAAACTTATTTACCCATGGGCCTTTAGTAAAATCATGTTAAACCTTTCAGTCTGGTTTCAGTTGTACAACAGTTAAAAATTAAAGAACTGCGTGTTCACCTCTGGGCCAGAATATTAAAGTGTGACAGCAGTAATCAATGCATGCTCTCAAGAAGGAAGTACATCTCATGAGTTGCATTCAGACTATATGACCTAGTAACCTCTTCAAATGATTGTATTTTTATCAACGAAGGTGGAAGAGCCTTACCTGTAACTGCCAAACCTATACTCATCCTCTCAAAAGTAAAAACTGAATACAAAGAGACAAACATCAAAGAGTTAATTACCACAGTGGTGTGGGCCTCCTGGGAACTGGATGCCTCCTTCTGCAAAATTTCTGTAGGTGGTAGGCAGAGCACACTCTTACGGCATGTTCGGAGTAGCTCTGTTCTTTCTTCTACTTCTATGAGGGGACGGAGCTTCCTAAGATCCAGGAGGAAGTAGCAAATATGTAACAAGACAGTAATGGCCAGGAATAACAGCTGAGGAAGGTACAGAGAGAGATGGTGGAGACAGAGGGACAGGTGGTAGTAAGAAGTTGCCAGAAGAAAAAGTAACAAAAGAAGAAAAGGAGGAAACTAACAAAGTTTTAAAATTCCAGGAAAATGGAAAGAAAGGGACAAAGGGAAAGAGGAACTATTACAGGAAAGGGTACTGATATTTTGAGATGATACATTACTTTTTGGCTCCCCAGATATTTTGAGGGAATGGGGGAAATGGTCAGTGATAGATATGTAGGTATTTAGTCAGGGACAGCCCTGAAAGCAGAAGAAAGCCTGGACCAGAAGCAACAGCAAGTGCCTGTGAAAATGGGAGAGGTGGTCTCTGCCAGCTGCTCCAAAAATCCCATCTAAAAAATCTTGGTTAAAGGAGGTGGCAGACATTGTCCAGTAGATGTCTACTACTGCCTGGGGCCCCCTATTCCTAGAAGCAGAGGCAGAAAGTGAGGTGGGGACAGACTAGGATATAAAGAACTGAAATCCAGTCAGAGCAAGGAAGACAGAGTAGCTGGAACATCGTTACCTGAAGTCACTGATGATGTTCATTGCCCTCAGCCTAATGGAGCTGGAGATGGAACTCAATGGCTCCTCCCTGATTAACTCCTGTAATACACCCACCCCACCCCCCACCCCAGAGACAAAGAGGATGTGAACATATTTTTTTTGTCTTCCTCCCCCTCCTCCTACCCCAGACTGTATTCATAAGAAACCGGAACCTAGAATTTCCAAAAACTCTCAAGGACAGCACTTCTGTCCTACTCCCAACCATACCTTCCCCACAGTACTCACACCCACCTTCAGGATGGAAAAAGGAAAAGGTAGGAAAAGGACACTGGAAAATCTGGACTTTTATCCTCCAGGCCAAGGCCAGGAGCACTGCCAACGGCTTCCATGAAGACCCATCCTCCCTCCTCTGTGCATTTCCACCTCCAACCTCCTGAGTTGTACTTAGCACCATGAAGGTTACAATTTCTAGCTTCTGAGGGAACTTAAATTGAAAGGCCATGGGGTGGCTGCTCAGGATGTTTGTTAGCTTGGTCAGGGCATCCAGGTACTCCAGCTTCAGGTTCTTATCCTGAACTAACCAGTATGCTCAGAGATTTCCAAAGTAGGAATGATCCTGGGGCAAGGGAAAACTACCTACACAAAATCTGGGAGATGAAAAGCTAAGGCTTCTATAGCTTTCTCTAGGCTGAGATCTTGCAACTTCTCTCTGAGGACAGCTTAGGGAAGCAAAGCCTGTGGCATCTTTATGGGGGAAGGGGCCACCCCTCTTACCAACCTGGTTCTGGAGTTCCCACCTTAAATTAGGATAGATCTAGCTAGTTTCCTTCTCTCTCAAGTTGTCTTTTTACCAAATAAGTTCTCCCAAAGGATGTCTAGTTGGATGGTAAATGAACAGGATTTGGGAAAGTCTTCTTCTCCTACCCTAGGGGCACATGCTCTGGACAAATGACAAAGGTAGGAAAATTATTTAGGGACCCCCCCCACCTTACCTCCCCTGAAGTAACTGTAATAGCCCTACCCCCTTGTTCCATTTAAGGCCAGGCATCATTTTCATGGAGGGGAAGGGTAAAGAAGGCAGGGATGGGACACTGGAGAAGGAGAGTAAGCAGGAAGTACCTTTTCTACAATGCAGTTGCGGTGGTGTTGCAGGACCACGGCCAGGATGTCATCTAAGTGCGTGAAGATGTCTCCCTTGCTCGCTAAAATAATCTTGCTATAGCTTAAGTAGATGATGTTACAGACCAGCCCCCATTCCCTTTGCTGATGTTCCTGTAAGAGGAAGGGGGAAACTTGCCTTCTCTTCATCTTATCCTTGCCTGATGGGGGAATGGAGGTTCAGGGAGGAATGGATTGGCTAGATGGCCCGGAAGGGAAGATGGGGTTGTGGAATGGTGGACAGCTGGGAGGAAGGGGATGCCGCTGATGATACCAGGGCCTGAAGCATGGGCATAAGGGAACATGGGAAAGGGAGAAGAGGATGAAACTTCCCCACAGTTGGTCAGAGGGAAATAGAAGCTTTATAGGGGAGTCACAAGGCCTCAGAGAAGTGGGGAGTCTGAGTGATGGGGATGCCTCAGAAGGTTTTGTGTGGGAGGGTGGCAGAGTTCCCAGGAATGCCATCACCTTCGTTAGCTTGAGGATGAATGATGAGCCCTTGTCAGTGAGGATAGCACTATACACTTGCAGTTGGTCCAGGACCATCTTCAGATGTTTCATGGACACAATACTGAGTGCCACAGCAATGCCCTGTAATGGGGATAGCCTCAACCTCACGCCACAGCTAAGAGTTATCCAGGTACCTTTATGCTCTCCCAAACCCCAGGATTTAGAGAGAAGAAGGGAGAGAAAAGGGAAAGAAAAGAAATGGAAGGAAAATTTGGTTCCTCTGACTTGAACAACTTAAAATCCAGATGGAGAACCAAACATCCTTGCAAGAAGTAATTCAAGGAGCAAATTACAAAAAAAAGACTCTTAACTATAGAGAACAAACTCATGACTACCAGAGGGGAAGTGGGTGGGGGGATGGGGGAAATAGGGGATGGGGATTAACGAGCACACTTATAATGAAAAAAAAACTCTAAAAGACAGATAGATTAGATGATAGATAGATAGATAGATAGATAGATAGATAGATAGATAGATAGATAGATAGATAAAGAGGCACAGGGCTTGTCAAAATTAAAGAGTCTGATTTTTGTATTTTTCATACTAATTGACAACATCCAGAAAAGCCTTTCCTGAGTATCATGGACCAGAGGAGAACCACGCCCTGCACAATGCTTGTGAACTGTGGGGACATTGCATATGTGTATGAATTCATCTATGAATTCAGTAGAGATTTGTTTGGTGCTTAATGCATGGGGGGACAAAAGAAGCAAATTATCCCAGATTGTGAAAAATTAGAGTCACAGATTTGCAAAATCTTAGGAGTATCAAATCTAACACTGCAGAATAGAGTATACTTATATGCACTAGAAGTTCAGAGAAAGGTTGTGAGGAGGGAACAGGAGGGAAGAACAAAACCAAGGCACATTATCAACAGGATTGGATGGATAATCAGAGGAAACGGAAAAGAGAGAAGACATACAGAGAATGCCAATATTCTTAACCCAGGAGAACAGGAAACAGCAGTAAACTGACCAAAATGGGCAGGTGGAAAGGGGACCTGTCTAGAGTTGGGGAGAGAGAAAGGAGGGAGTCCCTGCATGTGTCTTGTGGGACATAGTGGCAGGACAACTAAGTGAAAAATGCTGTCGGTGGGAAGAGATGACTGAGTGGGGGCCAAGAGCAAGGGAAACTTGGGGATTCTATAGTTCTTGCCAGGAACAGTCTTTAACTTAAATCCCTCTGCCTCATAGCAGGCCGCTTTGACTTAAATGTCAGCCAAGCCTCTTCCTAGAGCTTACTCAACCCGGATATCAGCACAGAGCAAAAAGAACATATAACACAGAGAGGCAGGTGCCAACTGTTTGTCAACTGGCTTGTTTGTGCAGGATGGGCTGCCATTAAGACTTTGCAGCAGAGGAGGCAGAGTGCTGGGGACCTAGGGACAGTTACAGTTGTTCCAGGGAACAGATCCTCTAGAAAGGATGAAATATTAATGGGACTTGTAGGCTTTTGGCCTCCAAGTAGATGAAGGGAAAATTTTGCCTAGTTAGAAAGCAGGGACTTGGGGAGCCTGGGTGGCTCAGCCCGCTAAGCATCTGCCTTCGGCTCAGGTCATGGCCCCAGGGTCCTGATATCAAGTCCCGCATCGGGTTCCTGCTCAGTGGGGAGTCTGCTTCTCCCTCTCCCTCTGCCTGCTGCTTCCCCTGCTTGTGCTCTCTCTCTGACAAATCAATCAATCTTTAAAAAAAAAAAAAGAAAGAAAGCAGGGACTAGTTGAATATCAGAAGAGGGTTCTACCTAGTCTGTCCCTCTTCCCATGCCATCCCTTATCCTGATCATCATCATCTTCATCACCGACATCATCAGAATATTTAATGCTTAGTTTGTACCAGCCTTACACATGCTATCTCACTAATCCTCATGCTAAAGCTTTAAGGTAAATATTATCAACCCCATTTTACAAACAGGGAAAATATAATTGTTCCCAAATGCAGCCATCCAGCCCAGATCTGAGTTCCAGATCTACATGGATACTGAGCCTCTCCACCTGGCTCCCTACCAGGAGCACCCTAAACTCTCCCCATCAAAACTGAATGCATCATCTTCTTCCCCATTATGTCCTGCATTCCTGATCTCAGTGAAGGATACCACCTCCCAGCATGCCAGAAACCCAGGAACTATCCTGAACATCCTCTGCCCTCTTAATCTTTATCTCTGTATCCAATCTGTCCCCAGGTGTTGGCAGACAGGTCACTTTTACCTCCCTGTCAAAGAACCCTGTATTCCAGTCCCACTATGCCACTGACTGTTCTGTAGACATGGTCCCAAAAATTCTTATCTTGGAATATTATGTCAAGTGGGAATACCCACTTCCCTCCTAATCTAGACCCAACTAGCCGAAGTCCTCACCCCCAACCCCAACAGCCACTATATGTCTCTGTGACCATTCATGTTGCCTTTAGTAAGGCTATTCTGTGGAGCCAGCTGTTTTCTTCCTATATATGTTTGTCTCCTCAATGATACTGTTTGCACCTTGGGCTTGGTAAATAACTGATGATAGTCATGATGGTGATGGATGCTCTGAGAATCTGGCAGGGAAGGGGCATTGGAGAGGGGATGCCTGAGAGCACGGCCACCAATTCTACCAGTAAGCAACACTTAGAGAGTGCTTGTGTGCCAGGCATTGTTCTAGGAGCTTTTATATTTTTAATCCTGAAAACCATCCTATGACACACAGGTTCCATAGTATTCCCACCAAAAATACATAATCTAAATGTAATCATGAGGAAATATGAGACAAACAAAAAATGAGCTACATTCTACAGAATCAATGGTCCATACATTTTTAAATGTCAAGATCATGAAAAATAGAAACTGAGAACTGTTCCAGATTAAAAATATTAAAGCTAAATGATAACTAAACATACTATTTGATTCTAAATTAGATCCCAGACCGGAGAAAAAAATGTTTTTCTTCTGCTCTAAAAAAAAACATTGGTAGGACAATTGGCCATTTTCAGATCAGGTCTATAAATTAGATAATAGTACTGTAGCAATGTTAACTTCCTAATTTTGATCACTGTGCTTTGATTATGTAAGGGAATATCATTATTTTTAGGTAGTACACCCTTAAGTATTTAGGGGTAAATGTGCATCATGATTGCAACTTCCTGAAATGAGTCAGAAAATAAAATAATAATAGTAAATAACTTGCCCAAGGGCACACAGTTAGAAAGTGGCAGACCTAGGATTCCAACAGGTTGTTGAGCTTGCCAGGTCTTAGCTTTTAACTACTTCATCACCCTGCCTCTTAAAGGAAAAATGTTTCCCCTTTGCCAGTTCCTCCACCTCACCTCCCTCTCCTGCAGGTCTTCATGGATAGCTTGTAGGATGGAGGAGAGCATCATCTTCACCAGTTTCATATTCCTTGAGGTCCGCAGGGTAAATCCGAAGAATTTATATAGAAAAGCCTAGGAGAGGTGAAAGGGCAGGGTCATGCATAACTTGGAGTGAAGTTAGGGTAGCTTGGGGAATAGCCATTACCCAAACTGGTTTTGAAACTGTCAGCCAGCACCCTTCCCCACTGCCCCAACCTCCACTCTGGCCCTCCTGTTCTCTGGGGGGCATCTGGATAAGGCAGTAATCCTATAGAGCAGGGGCTGAAGCTAGAGGTAAGAGAAAGCTGTATTTCTAATTTCTTGGCATCTTAGGGTATGGATCATCCCTTTAGGAACTTTCCCTGATCCACATACTTCCCATTTCCAGCTAGAAAATCAAAAGTTCCTTACATCAATGTTTTACAGTTTTCAGAGCACAGATCTTTCACCTTCTTGGTTAAGTTTATCCCTAGGTATTTTATGATTTTTGGTGCAATTGTAAATGAGATTATTTTCTTAATTTCTCTTTCTGATGCTTCATTAACTGTAAAGAAATGCAACAGATTTCTGTATATTATTGTTGTACCCTTTACTGAATTCATTTATCAGTTTGGTGGAGTTTTAGGATATTCTGTATATAATATCATGTCGTCTGCAAATAGTGAAAGTTTTACTTCTTCCTTGCCAACTTGGATGGGTTTTACTTCTTTTTCTTGTCTGATCACTGTGGCTAGGATTTCCAGTCCTATGTTGAATAAAAGTGGTGAGAGTGGACATCCTTATCTTGTTTTTGATCTTAGGGGAAAAGCTCTCAGTTTTCCACCATTGAGTATGATGTTAGCTGTGGGTTTTTCATATATAGCTTTTCTTATGTTGAGGTATGTTCTCTCTAAACTTACTTTGTTGAGAGTTTTTATCATGAATGGATATTGTACTTTGTCAAATGCTTTGTCCCCATCTATTGAGATGATCATATGGTTTTTATCCTTTCTCTTATTGATGTGATGTATCATGTTGATGAATTTGTGAATATTGAACCACCCTCACATCCCTGGAATAAATCCCACTTGATCATGGTGAATGATTTTAGATTCTGGTTGCTAATATTTTGCTGAGCATTTTTGCATCTATGTTCATCAGAGATATTGGCCTGTGGTTTTCTTTTTTTATAATGCCTTTATCTGACTTTGATATTGGGATAATGACACAAACAAATGGAAAGATATTCCATGCTCATGGATTGGAACAACCAATATTGTTAAAATGTCCATACTACTCAAAGCAATCTACAAACTTAATGGAACCCCCATCAAAACACCAACAGCATTTTTCACAGAACTAGAATAATCCTAAAATTTGTGGAATCACAAAAAACAAACCAACCAAAAAAGCAAACAAACAAAAAACCTGAATCGCCAAAGCAATCATGAAAAAGAAGAACAAAGCAAGCCCAGATTTCAAACTTTACTACAAAGCTGTAGTAATCAAAACAGTATGGTACTGGCACAAAAATAGACACATAAATCAATGGAACAGAATAGAGAGTCCAGAAACAAACCCACGGTTTTATGGTCAATTAATCTAAGACAAAGGCAGCAAGAATATACAATGGGAAAAAGACAGTCTTTTCAACAAATGATGTTGGGAAAACTGGATAGCCACGTGTAAAAGAAGGAAACTAAACCATTTTCTTTTTTTTTTAAAGATTTATTTATTTACTTGAGAGAGCGAGAACGAGAGAGAGTACATGAGAGGGGGGAGGGTCAGAGGGAGAAGCAGGCTCCTCGCTGAGCAGGGAGCCCGATGCGGGACTCGATCCTGGGACTCCAGGATCATGATCTGAGCCGAAGGCAGTTGCTTAACCAACTGAGCCACCCAGGCGCCCATAAACCATTTTCTTACCACCATACACAAAACTAAATTCAAAGTGGATCGAAGACATAAATGTCTTCATTTGGAACCATAAAATTCCTAAAAGAAAACATAGGCAGTAATTTCTTTGACATCAGCCATAGAAACATTTTTTTTAGATATATCTCCTCAGACAAGGGAAACAAAAGCAAAATTAAATTATTGGGACTACACCAAAATAAAAAGCTTCTGCACAGTGAAGGAAAGCATCAACAAAACAAAAATGCAACCTATTGAATGGGAGAAGATATTTGCAAATGATATATTTGAAAAGGAGCTAATATCTAAAATATATAAAAAATGTATACAACTCAACACCAAAAAAGCAAATAATCCAATTAAAAAGTGGTCAAAGGACCTGAATAGACATCTTTCCAAAGAAGACATATAGATGGCTAGTAGACACATGAAAAGATGCTCAACATCACTAATTGTCAGGAAAATGCAAATCAAAACCACAATGAGATATCATTTTACACCTGTCAAAATGGCTAAAAAAAAAAAACAAAAAAAAAAAAAACAAGAAATAACAAGAGTTTGTGGGGATGGAGAGAAAAAGGAACCCTTGTGTCCTGTTGGTGGGAATGCAAACAGGGGCAGCCACTGTGGAAAACAGTACAGACATTCCTCAAAAAATTAAAGATAGACTAACCACATCGTCCAGCAATTTCACTACTGGGTATTTACACAAAGAAAATGAAAACACTAATTCAAAAAGATATATGCACCCTGATGCTTATTGCAGAATTATTTACAATAGCCAAGAAATGGAAGCAACCCAGTTCATTGATAGATGAATGGATAAAGATGTGGAATGCAATATTATTCAGCCATGAAAAGAATGAAATCTTGCCATCTGCAACTGCATGGATGGATATAGAGGGTATAATGCTAAGTGAAATACAGAAAGACAAATACAATATGATTTCACTCATATGTGGAATTTCAGAAATGAAACAAACGAACAGAGAAAAAAGAGACCAACAAAAAAACAGACTCTTAAATACAGAGAATAAACTGGTGGTTGCCAGAGGGAAGGTGGGTAGGAGGACTTAAGAGTACACTTATTTTGATGAGCACCGATAAATGTAAAAAATTGTTGAGTCACCATATTGTACATCTGAAACTAATATAATGCTGTATGTTTGTTATACTTGAATAAAAAATAAGTTAAAAAAAACAAACACAAAAATAAATTTTAATAACAAAACTTCACTTGAAAAAAAAAAAAAACAGGGCGCCTGGGTGGCTCAGTTGGTTAAGCGATGGCCTTCGGCTCAGGTCATGATCCTGGAGTCCCTGGATCGAGTCCCGCATCGGGCTCCCTGCTCGGCAGGGAGTCTGCTTCTCCCTCTGACCCTAACCCCTCTCATGTGCTCTCTCTCATTCTCTCTCTCTCAAATAAATAAATAAAATCTTTAAAAAAAATTTTTAAAAAACCCAGTTCCTTAAATTTGCATAATTTAAAAATTAAAATAGCAAAATCAAAAAAGTAATCTATATCTCTCCCTCTTCTGAATTTCTGTAGCCTTTATCCTTGCTTGCTATTCATTACCCTGTCTACCTTGTAATATCTGTATTTATGTAGTCAACACTTTCCTACCTCAGGGTTTCTATATTTCCCATTTCCCCTGTCTGGAATCTTCCCTGGGCTCTTCAAAATGCTGTCTCACTCTCATCTTTCTGATCATGTCTCAGTGAGCCTTCCCTGACCTCCTAAATTCCTCTCTAGCTCACCATCCTGCTTCTTTGATTCAAAGCTTCCTCACAATCACTAGTCATCTTGTTTATGTGTTTGTTTGGTTAGTTCTTAACTCTCCCCAACCTCTCCTCTCCAATGAGAATAAAGCTCAGGAGCTTTATGTCTTGTTCATTGTATGTCTTGGTCATTGTGTGTATGTCTTGTTCATTGATCTACTCCAATGCTTACAGAGTGCCTGACACAGTAGACAAACAAGGTATACCAGATGTTCAATGAATGTGTCAACTTTCCCCCAGAGCCCCCTCTAGATGGGCACCTTTTCTTCCTCTAGCAGATGCTCTTCAAGCCTTGTCCAGAGCCGAAGTTTCCTTCCCTTCCCTGGTTGCAGGCACCATTGTGAGCAGTTCCCACCTGTAAGCCTTTTTGGGTCTCTTTGCCTGGAGGTGCCTGAGAGTTACATTCTTCTCTCTCCCATCCCTGCCCCATACCAACCATAGAAGCCTGGCACCAGTGACAGAGAGGTGGAGGGGTGGGGAAATACAAAAGCCCCCCTCACTTGTCTCTTAGCAGGATAGACTCTGCGGTGTAGTTTCCATCCAGGTCTCCCCACATCCTTGCTTAGCCTCTCCTCTTCCTACCCTGTTCCTTTTACTTGATCACAGCTTCTCCTGAGAGCACTTTCTTGCCAAATCACTTGACAAGGACCCCCACCTTAGGCTCTGCTTCTATGAAACCTGACCTAAGGCACTGGCTTCTCTGCTTAGCTGGCAAATTACTGCTTAGCTGGCAGATTACTCATCTTTCCAGACTTAATCATTCGTCTGTAGAGTGACTGATCTTCCCAGTTTGCCCAGGACTGAGGCATTACCTAGTATGCTGGACTTTTAGAGCTAAAACCAGGGCAGTCCTAAGTGAACTGAGATGGTGGACCACCTTTGAGAAAGCTTTTCTGGCCAATCCCAACCAGCCAAGTAAATAGCTCTCCCCTCTGCTCCCAAGCATATAATGCACATTCCAATCCTGGAGTCAAAGAGGTTCTCTTGAGTAGGGAGGTCCCTCAATCATGTCTCAGTCTCAGGGGGTGTGGGGCCTCTTCTCCCTCAGGATCCTGAAAAGGGGAAGGAAGGCAAGTGTGGAGAAAGGTATGTCTCTTAGAGTGCATACCTGAAGCAGCCTGTCCTCCCACTCCTCCTGATCCAGGTTCTCCTCAGTGTGATCTAGGAAAGAAGAGAGTATAGGGACCTGCCCGACCAGAAGGCCCCGGCCAGGGAAAAAGAACCAACATTTGAACGCTATTCTAAGGGCTTTGTGCCCATCCTCTCATTTGATTTTCATTATGATCCTACAAGATAATTGTTCCCCCTTCTTTTCAGAGGCTCCAGGAAATGTATAACTTTTCAAAGGTCAAACATACCCAGCTGGCAAGTGTTAGAGCAAGGATACAAACCTGGGTCTCTGGTTCCAAAGCCCACACTCTTTCCTGAACCTCTGCCCACAAGAAGGAGAGTTCTGGGAACTCTGGAGTCACAGAACTCTGGGCTGCATATCTGCTCAGTGCAGAACATGGTCCAAATAAGCAGACCTATCCAAACCGCATCTCAGAAAGACAGAGACTGGTCCCGGTTCTCCTCACCCCAAGGAAGATCCATCCTGCACCTCGGAACTTCATCTCTTCTGGAGTCTGCCCCAATGCCCCAGCTCCATTCTTCCCACCTCACAGCCAACCCCTCACCATCCAGTATCTGCAACATCTGGGGGATTTCCTTCATCCACAGCTGGCCCACATTCGAGTTGATAACGGGGTCCAAGGAGGTGATAGGATGCAGGGCATGTAGTAGCCTTAGAGAGCTTATACCAAACTCCCTTTCTCTATAGGCCTCCAGGGAAAATATCTGAGAAACAAGGGAAGCAAGCAGGAGGCAGAGAAAGGATTTAAGGGAAGAGAAGGAAGAAAATCAGAATAAACCCATAGAATGGTAGAGCTGAAGCTTAGCCCTTTCCCATTCTTTTCCACCTGTGAACTCCTACATGTTCTGCAAGATGCTCTCAAAACGTTGCCTCCTCTGATTCCTGGAGACCAAGTCAGCCCCTTGTTCTTCTAAGATCCCATTGCAACTTGTGTATTCCTCTACTAACATTTATCACACTGCATTATGGGTGGTTATTCCCAGGCTTATCCTTCCCACTAAGACTGTGAACACTTCAAGGGCAGTTCCATACCTTGTCTTTCCAAGTGTTCATAATGTCTAGAACATAATGTCTGGGTACATAGAGAAACTCAAAACATTCTTGCTGAAAAAATGAGATCCAAAAAGGCATGTGGACTTGTCCAAGATCAACAGAGAACAGCTCACTATAAGGCCACATAGGAGACAGGCCAGGCCTTCCCCAACCCTCACCCCTTCCCCACCTTCAGCTCCCAGAACTATGCTCCCAGTTCCCTCCTCCAAGCTGTTTGATCACTTCTCCCCAAAGCACCTGTGATCTTTGGCCCTACCCCTTATTCCATGCCCAGCACAATGCCTGGAATAGAGTAGTACTCAACTATTTGTGGAATGTGGGGATGGATGGATGGATGGATGGATGGATGGATGGATGGATAGTATTCATCCTGTACATTTATCACTTACCACAAGATGGGTCAGGAGTTTCTGTGGGGAGATGAACTGGGTAGCTAAGTTAAAGAGAGGATAAAAGAGGACAGAGTCAGTGCCAGCTCCAGGATGCCCAACCTTCAGGCCCCTCTCCCACCAGCAGCCCACTACCCATTCTTCAAGGGAGGAGAAAAAGCAAAGTGGAGAGCGATTATTGGTGCCATTGCCATGGGGATTGCAACATTTTGTGTTGTTGGGGTTTTTTTTAAGATTATTTATTTATTTATGGCAGAGAGAGAGACATCGAGAGAGGGAACACAAGCAGGGGGAGTGAGAGAGGGAGAAACAGGCTTCCTGCTGAGCAGGGAGCCCAATGAGGGGCTCGATCCCAGGATCCTGAGAATCATGAACTGGGCCAAAGGCAGACACTTAACTGACTGAGCCACCCAGGTGCCCCCACCTGAAATTAACATAACATTGTATGTCACCTATACCACAATAAAAAAAAAATTAAATAGACAGACTAGGGAAGAAAGGCATTGTCCAGCCAAAGCATGGTAAATGGTCACTACTCATGAGTGCATTCTATTAGTTTATACCTTGAAAGCATCTCCCACTATTCTGAGAAGTTGTACACATTTTATTAAATGTAGCTTTTCATATTTGAAAACCCTAAGTCCATCTTTTAAATGTCTATTGTTCACATTGATTATAATCAGAAGTCTCAACACTGGGAAAGTCATTTGCTAACTTTCCTCCTTTAAAACCGTAACAAAGAATGCTTATTTTCCAAACACACAAACACACACACACCCCAAGTAATGTGCCGAACAGATATCCTCACCTCAATTCTGACTCCCTCTGGAACTAGCAGTCAGGGGTGGGGTGAGTACAGAGTGAGGCTCAGAGTCAGGGCAAAGGAAGAACTAAGGGTCAGGAATGTCTGTGTACACATTACTTTGTAATTTACAACAAAGTTCTCACATCTCTACTCCAGTGTTTTAAGACAAGGAATAAAGGCAAGAAGGATCTGTGGGGGGGGGTTGCCTCTCTTCCAGAAGAATCCCCTTTTCATTCATATGAAGGGCCAAAGGGCATCAAGCTGCTGTCCTAACCCTTTGTCTTCCTCTTATGTCCTGGCCCAGGCTCACAGCCACGCCCCCCACAACAGCGGATCTGCACCCTCTCCCCACACCCATGACCCCTTCAGAGTCTCAGTCCCTGTCCCACCCTACCCTCCTGCCTGGGGCAGCCTGTGCTTTCACAGCTGCCCCCTCTCCACAATCTCCCCCCCACCCCGTCCCATGTACTTACGGCTGAGGTGAAAGCTGCTAAGGTAGGGGACCTGCCCAGGGACCGGGCCTTCAGAGCCATGTCTGTGGCTGTCTTACTCAGCAGCACGAAGGTCAAGGTGTTGCTGGGCTGTCACGTCAAGGTGATCAGTTTGGGCAAGGACACCTGGCAGAAGATGTGGCAAGGGATTCGATGTCAAGCTCCAAATCAGCCCCAATCATAAGTTCTTCAACCCTATGGCTTTGTCTTCCTTTCTTGGAGGGGCATTTGAGACCTGTATACACAGACCCCCATCCCATTCATAGTCCCCCTTCCCTTTCGCCCTCTCTCCCTTTCCACTGCATGTTGGTAAACCATAACCAAGGTCCTGATTAAAATTACAGCAGGAAGGACTTGATTAAATAGAGGGGCTTCTTGAAATTTGGAATTGTGTGACTTGTAATCGCCTTCACTGGGGAACATTCCAGGGGCAGAAGACATGTTAGCAGTCAGGAGACAGCTTGCTGGGAGGGAGAAGGGGTCTCTGGGAAGAAGAGTAAATCACAGCTGTCCTTTTCTTCCCATGGCCCCTGACTCAACTCTGACCCACACAACAACTCATAGGAGTCCCCAGGAATCCTTGGAGGTTGCTAAGAGCAGGCAGGGTGGATAATCACCCACTTTTTTACAGGAGAAACTGTAGCCTGGAGAGTAATTTACTCTAGATTTTCTAGCCAAAAACTGGCTGAGCAGGACCCAGTCTCAGGCCTCCAGGTTTACCATCCAGTGATCCTCTGCTCCACTGAGCCATTTCTCAGAGGAGCCCCAGGCACTCAAGTGGGAACAGATAGAGGTGGGGATGGTGGAAGGGACAGTACGAGGGGTTAGGTTAGATGGAGTGGGGGGTAGGGAGTGGGCAGAGAGAATGCAATCTGGGGGTCAGGGTAGTGATCTGGGCAGCCAGGGGAGGAGGAGATGAAGAAGTCTCTTTGACCCTAGCTGCTTGTACCATCTGTAGGATTTTGGAACACATTAGTTGGATGTCCTCTTCATTCTGGAATAAGAAAGGAAAAGATTTAAATCTGAAACCAATGCTGAGTCTTCTGGTTCAAGGCCTCCCCTGGCTCACTGCTCAGAATTTTAGACACCAAAGCCCCTTCCCACTGTGCCAACCATGCCCTCTTCTTCTTTCCCTTCTACTCCCAAACCTGCCCTTCTTTTGCTCCCACCCTCAGTCCCCTCCCTGCCTGGCCGCTGCTCACTGAGCAGGCAGACTCACTGAGCTTGATGACATAGTTGATGATGACATTCCCCTGGGGCATGGCCAAGTAGTCATGCTGGCCCAGCATCTCAGTGAAGTTCAGGAGGGCCTTCCGCACCTGTGTGTGTGTCAGGGGGCGGGGGGGTCACAGACCATCACATGACAAGATAGGAAAACACATCAGTATGACACTTCATGTTCCAGGTGAGAACACAGAGGACCAGAGCAGGTGAGGGGTGTCTTCAAGGGACTCAGATCTCCCAACTTCAAGCCCAGTGTGACTCTTCCCTGGTCTCCAGGTGATGACAGACAACCAGCCACTGAACCTGACCACCCTACTCCACCCTGAAGTTCTAGCCCATTTAAGTTCCTACCATTCTCCTGAAGAACTGTAAGCACTTAGCTTGCCCACACCTTATATAAGATAAGAAATTGACAGAAGTGTTGGGTAGGGAGAAATCAGAGTCCAGGAAAAGTCCCATGTTCTGGCCTTCATAGGGAAAGACAGGAATGAATCCCATAAGTCCTGAGGGTCCAGCCCTCAAGATCCTAGTCTCTCCATCAACCTTCTGAAGATTTAGGACTTTGTTTTTAGGGATGGTGCCATTGTTGTCCACCTGGCACCCTAAACTGCTGCTCTTCTGCTCCCTGTCTTGCATGATTCAGACCTGGGAGCAGTCTCTGCTGCCTCCAATTCTGGCAGAGCTTGTTAAAAATATGGCTTCTCAGACCCTATGCTAGATATGATGTTTGAGGTCTTCTCTCCCCAAATAAACTGAATTTTTAGGGGGCAGAATTAGCATTCTTTAGAGCTCTGTGTCCCCACTGACAAGGCTCAGAAAATAGGTAGGAACCACCTGTTCACCTCTCAAATCCTTCTCAGGCTCTGAAGAGCCCAAATGTAACCCATGGGCAGAGTCTGAGGCCAGAAGGGTCTTGGTAAGGGGGTGTCTTACCTCTCTCCTCATCCATGAACAGCCTCCCCCTCTCCATTTTACACAACTTCAAGGTCTCAAGAAAGCAATTGCCCTCCCAGCCCAAACATTCAGCCTTTCTGCTCACTGGTTTGAGATCCTCCTGAATCATGATTATGACTGAATGCATCACCTCATTCTTTAGTTGCTGTGTCTCGGGTGCTAGAGAAAAGACAGACATGCAGCTGGGGATCAGTTTCCTTCCTCCTCCTCTGTTGTATTGGGAGGCACAAGAAGACAGACAGGTGGGAGGAATTCTAGGTACTGTCCTGGTCTTCAAGGGCCAGATAGAGCTCCCAAAGATTATCTCCACCATCCCTCTGCTTCAAACCAGACTGAAGAGTGACAGAAAACTTTTCCTCAAGCTGGCATTGGAGTCCCAGCTCTTTCCAGTCTCCTATGATTGCCCACCTCCCTGGTCAAACAGTACCCCCCACCCCATACATCTCAACCTTTAAAACTATGACAACTGCTCTTCTTTATGTGAATTCCCTCTCCTAACTCACCATTACAATCTCCTTCCCTGCTCTCAGTACATCTCCTACACAGAGCCCAACCCATCTCCCGAATGACCCCTTCTCCATATTCCTATTGCATATAACCATGCTCACATTTAAACAACTTTTCACATATTATCTTGCATTGTTTCACTGTCTGGACAGCCTTATAATCCCAACTCAATAGTGAACTCTTTGAGAGCGGGGACTATGTCTTATTTAAGTGTCTATTTGCAGTGCCTTGCACTGTGCTAGACATACAGCGAAGGTTTGGCAAACACTTGATTGGAGTTGAAGCTTATTCCCCAAGATAATAATCACAGACTAAATGACTATAAAACTGACTGCATATTGGGAAATAGTCTAAGCACCTCACATATATTTTCTCATCTAATCTTCACTAAAAAAACCCTAAAGGTAGGTACTAATATTACCACCACTTTAAGGTGAGGAAACAGAGGCACAGACTAAAAGCAATCTGCCCAGATTTAAACCTATTGAGTTGACTTTGAGTTTACATTAAGTTTAAAACTGTGCCTTTAACTTACACATGAGACTGTCTTCCAGAGAAAAGAGCTCTCATAGGAAAGAATATCCCCAACACCAGGCCAATTCCCACTCATCTTCCTGGAACACATCCATGAAAACTTGAAGGGCTGATACTATCTTGTCTGGATCACTGGCTTGCATGTTCTTTTGTATTAAGAATACCACCTGATCATTGTATAACTTGGCTATCAGAAGGGTGCAAATACAAGGGAATCATGGTATGTTTAACTAGCAAGTGGTAAGTAGAAGTAAATCATGCTTATAGCAAACCATGATGCCATGAACCAGATAAGTTAGGGCCCTTTAGGTTGGAGAAAAGAAGGAGGAAAAGCATCTAGCCCCATGTGCCAAGCATGTGGCTAGATGCTTTCCCTGAGCTGGGCCCTTTCCCTCCACTGCCCCACCATGTGCCCTCCCATAGGTTGGCACACCTCGCATGATCATCAGTGTTGTAATGACAAGATCACCTTTCTAAGCTGGGATTCATTGAAGGAGAAAGGGAAGCCAACCAACTTCAGGTGAAGGGAGTGGAGCTATGTCTTTGCCCCTCAAGATTCCTTGAATTTCAAGCAAAGCTCACATGGATTACTTTGCATCTTGTCTAGAAGAATGGAAGACCCTTATGGGAACCTAGGTCCCTGCTCCAGTCCAGGGAGACACAAAAGTTATTCTGACTGCCCACCCACACAAATACCTGGGGTTAGGGAACTGTGTTAACTTACTCAGGATGTAGAAAGCCTTCAGGGCAAGGCTGTGGTTCCATGCAGAGTGAGGATCTAAGTCCTTGACTGTTTCATTCAGCTGTGGGGAGACCAAGGCCATCAGGCCTGGGAGGACTGAAACTAGGGGCCATGGGTGTGGATGGAGGAACCAAGGCACGCATCCATGGAAAGTGTGGTGTTTAGTAATAAAGGAGAATAGGAAAATAAAACCCAGGAATCCACATTCCCAGCCCCAAGTGGCAAGCAAATTAAACATACAGAAGTTAACACCTTTTTGCAAAATGTTCAGTTATCTTCTTCCTACTCTAGGCTGCAACACAGAGGGCCTGACATTTCCCACAGACATGATGGAGTGCTTTGAACCTCCTGCCCTTTAACCAGAAATTAGGGGGAGCAACAAAGGTCTGTGACCTTCAAGAAACACACAGAATGTACCCAATTTACCTCATGGAGAATATCTGAGTCTATGCCCAGAATCTGGGCATTTACCTGTTCCAAGGAAACCTGAGATCTGTATGGTTAAGGTCACCATGTGAAAGACACCTGCATTTATGGAGGTTGTGACCTGGGCTGCAATAGCCATCACCTCCAAAGAAGAGAGAAAAAGCAAGCCCAGGATGCTTCTAGTCCCACAGCACTCACCTGATTGAACAGTATACTTATAATATTTTATAATACTATAAAATAATATATAATAAAATATATAATATATAAAAATATAATAAATATATAAAATATATATAAATATATAAAATATATAAATATATATTATAATGATATATAATATATATTATATATAATAATATATATAAAATATATATAAATATATAAAAATATAATAAATATATAAAAATATATAATATACAAAAAATATATAATAAAACTGGGATTCCAAGTTTATACCTCCACAGCCACTAAGAACCAGAGCATTCATAAGTTGGCAGATACACTGTGCATAAGGACAAAGTAAGCATAAGTTAGAATTTCCACAGCCTCAGGAGAAATCCTCTGTCCTCACATCTTCTCTTCAAGGATGGGCCAAGTCATCATAGTTTCACACTGCCCTCTTGGACCTTTCTAAAAAAGGCTCAGGGTCTAGTTCTTTCATAGCTAAATACAGCCATGACCTGCCCTTCCACCTTGCCCAGTAAGCTACACTTACTTTCAAATAATCTCATTATTCCACAGAAATCTTCAGGGCAATTCAACATTTCAAGTATTGGCTGACTTCAAAGGAGCAGGGTAAATTAATCATAGCCAAAGCAAGAACTGGTTCTACGGTTCTATGACTTTCAAAATTCTGAAAACTAAGTCTAAAAGCCTATATTTCTACTCTCTACCTGGTGGATTCTATTATTTTGTGGGTTCTTCTTATCACTGGTATATGAGAGTTCTACAAATAACCTTAGTTTTCACATGTGTAAACACTCCATTTGATTTTCTTAAAACGGGTTTATTGATATCTAACTGACATACAAAAAACTGTATATATTTAAAGTGTACAATTCAACAAGTTTTGATAAATGTATACACTCATGAAACCACCACAATTAACATACTGAACATATCCAGTACACCTCAAGTTTCCTCTTGTGTCTTTGTAATTCCTCCTTCCCAGCACCTTTCCTTTCCCCAGGCAAACACTTATCTGCTTTCTGTCATTATAGACCTGTCACTTCCTTTTTAAGAAACCGCCAAACTGTTTTCCAAAGTAGTTTGCCAGTTTACATTCTAACAGATGTGTAGTGGCATCTCATGGTGATTTTAAATTCCCTCACGTCTATGCAACGTTGAGCAACTTTTCCTGTGCTGACTTGCCATCCTCATATCTTCTTTGGTGAAGCAGCTATTCAATTTTTTTGGTCCACTTTTTAAATTGTTTTTATTGGGTTTTGAGAGTTCTTTATATATTCTGGATGTGTATGTGATTTGCAATTATTTTCTTCCAGTCTGAGGCCTGTCTTTTCATTCTAACAGTACCTTTCAAAGAACAGAAGTTACTCACTTTGATGAAGTCCACTTTATTCCTTTGTTCTTTTATAGATCATGTT